CGCTCCTGAGAAGTTAGCATTTCCGAAGCTCCTCAGAGCTCTCAGCTGCCCGCCCCCCACTCAGCCCCAGTGTTTCCCTAGCAGGCTCTGGACTTGCCATTTCTGTCACGTCCTCCTGGACATGAGGCATGAACTTCCTGCAGCCTTAGGAGCAGCGGGGAGTGTGTGTGTGCTCAGGGGGCAAGCTGGCCGAGGCTTGGAGAGGAGGCAGAGCGGAGCAGGAGGGCTTCCAGGTTGGGAGGTGGGATTCCACCTGCCGGAGGGTTGGACCGTTGCCGCTGTGATAGGTCGAACACCGGTGGAGCAGTGATTCGATCTGGCTCGTTGCTTTAAATTCATTGACAACTTTTTTAAATGTGGAGATTTCCCCTTTGAAAGAATATGGAGTAGCCCAGCCGGCGTGGCTCAGTGGTTGAGCATCAACCTGTGAACCAGGAGGTCACGGTTCGATTCCAGTCAAGGGCACATGCCCGGGTTTCGGGCTCAATCCCCAGTGTGGGGCGTGCAGGAGGCAGGTGATCAATGATTCTCTCTCATCATTGATGTGTCTCTCTCTCTCTTCCTCTCTGAAATCAATAAAAATGGGGTTTTATTAATTTTAAAAAATAAAAGAATATGGAGTATTTCTGGCTGCTTTTTGGAAGTCAGAAGGCCTGCCAGGACTGCCCCTCCCTGGAGAAATTGGATAGGCTAAGTGGCAGCCCCCCCATTTCACACAGGGCCTTTGGTCTCGGGCTTGTCCCCGCCCCTCCCTATAGTTTCTGACTCTGGATAATCACCCTTGCGGGGTTACTAAGAAAAAAGCAAAACAGTTCCTGGGGACATCCCTAGGAAAAGAGAGAGAGTAGAAGTTAGACCCGCAGGGTCACTGGCTCCAAGAAAAGTGGGCATGCTGCTCTGTGGCAGGGAAGGGTTCTCACATCCAGCCCACTTCACCCCCTGACCACCCCCACCCCCCCCCCAGGACCAGTGGGAGGCAGGGGCTGACCATCACTTCTCTGTCCCGACTGCCGACCCTGAGCCACACGTCCTGCCCATGGTGGCTCTATGCCTTCCGCGTCATCTCCAATAAGCGCTTCAGCGTCAGGCCTTGCGGAGCTGATGTGTTTTAACGGGGGACATCCGGGCAGGAAAACTTCAGTGTTTTGACGTCCCTCCTCTCTGGACCTTGGTTTTCCCACGAGTAGGATGAGGCTGTGGGGCTGGGACAGCATCTGTTGTCTTGCAGCTCTCGTAGCTCACCGTGCCAAAGCCACGGGAGGAAACTCTGGAGGAATTCCTGGCAGGTGGCAAAGCTGCTCCCAGACCATGCACGGAGGCTGCCTCTACTGCAAAGAGCAGCCCCATTTCGCACCGGCCCGCCCTCCTCTCTCACATGCACGTGCTGAGCTGCCAGTGAGACCCCATCAAACCCGCCCAGCACCCCTCCCCCCCCCTCACCCCCACCCCCACACTGTGCCTGTGCTAAGTGTCTGCTAAGTGTCCGTGAAGTCACCGATGCTTCTTTTCAAGTCCTATCCCCGGGATCAGCTCCTAGGCCTCATTATCACCTTCGCTGGCTCCTGTTTTACTGCCTGTGTGGGTTCTAGAATCCTGGGGAGTGGACGTACCTGAGATTTATATACCAGTATATATTTTTTTACATATAAAGATCATAGAAACCACCAAATACCCACATGGAGACACAGCCTGAAAGGACCGTTAGAGGGGAGGGATGGAGAGTGTCTCGGAGCCTCTGGGGACGGTGCTGTGTGTCCAGACCGGACCCGCCTGGCATGGCGCCTGAGACCACTGACCCTCGGGTGTAGGTCTGCCGCTTGGGTCCAGGAAAAAAATGAACAAAAAGTCATGGTCAGCTTTCTCCGTGGCTCCGCCAGTCGTTTGGGGAACCGAATGCCACCCAGCCCACCAGGGGCAGGAGGAGGGCATGGGATGCCCAGCCCACTGTGGGCCCCACTGGGGTAAACACTGACCTTGGCCTTCTCAGCCCTTGGTCTGCTCGTGGAGCTGCCTTCTGCCAGGCCCCGCTGAGGCCTGGGTACCGTTTGCCCCAGTGCTGAGTGGCCAAATCAAAACGGCAACATTAGCCCTGGCCAGTCTGGCTCAGTGGATAGAGCGTCGGCCCACGGACTGAAGGGTAGCGGGTTCGATTCCGGCCAAGGGCGCGTAGTACCTCGCACCTCAGTTGCAGACTCGATCCCCGGCCCTGGTCGGGGTGTGTGCAGAAGGCAACCAATCGACGTGTCCCTCTCACATTGATGTTTCTCTCTGTGTGTCTCCCCCCATCCCTTCCACTCTCTTTCTAAAAGAAGGGGGAAAAATCAATTGAAAAATATCCTCAGGTGAGGATTAACAACAAAATAATAATAATAATAATAATAATAATAATAATAATAATAATAAATCAAAACTGCAAATAAAGCAGCTGCCGTGGATCGCATGGTGGCTGGTGAAGGCTGTGCCCAGTGCAGTGCATCTGCTATTTCAGGCAATCCCCTGAAAACCTGTGGAAGGGGGCAGACTCTTGTCCCATTTTACAAATGGGGAAACTAAGGCATGAAGAGGTCAAACAACTTACACTGTAATCTTGGCGTGGACAGAACCCCTGCAGCATTCCGGAACTCTGCCCTTCCCCGACGTCCCCAGGGAGGGGGCCTGGCCCCTCCTGTGTGGCCGTGTTTAGGAGAAGCCATGCAGGCCATTGTCTTGGCCTCCGGAGCCCTTGGTGAAGCCAAGTACCAGCCCAGTGCTGGTGGGTGTGAAGAGCGGGGCCGCCCCAGACCAGAAGCCCTGGGCCTCCGGAAGCTGCCTTCGCCCCGCCCCTGCCCCCAGCAGCCCTCCTGCCTGTCTTGGCTGCGTGGGAATTCATTTCCCAAGAGCAGCAGAAGGCCCTCATTAGCCACACCAGAGGTCAGGGGCATGGCTGTCGCTTCGAATTTGTCCAAACCTGATGACAGCCTCGGCCGATGGGTTGATTCCAGCTGCAAAGTGAGGTCCGGGGGCTCCTTGCCCCTGGTCTGAGCGGAAATAGGAAGGCAGGGCCCAGCGCCCCCCACCCCATCCCCAGTCGGCCTCTGGCTTCGTTCAGCTCCGGCGTGCAGGGCCTGTGCGGGCTGCGCCTTGGGCAGTAGGGCACACCCTCCCCAGCTCTCACCTGTCTCACCAAGTGAACCTACAACTTAATTCCGCCCACTCTGCATTTCTCAGCCTTTGGGGACCTGGGCGAAGTGAATAAACCTGGACCCGCCTGCCCTGTCTGTCTGACTCCAATAAAGCCTTAGGAGATAGCAGTGCCCGCCCCACTCAGCTCAGCCACTGCCTCCCGCGGCCTCCTGTCAATCACAGGCGCAGGCGCTCAGATGGGGCCAAGCCGATCTCCCACCGCCGTCCAGGAGCCGCAGCAGAGGCTGGGAGGGTCTCTGTGCCCACTGACCTCCCTACAGGAGGGAGGGGCCAGGCCTCCTCTGCCTTGGCGGCCCCTGGGTCCAGGCAGACCCCGGCTGCCCATTCCCACACCCACAGGCCTGGGCAGGGGCTGGCATTCCACCCCAGCAGGGAACCTGAGGGACAAACCCAGAGGCCAAGAAAGCCAGAGCTTGAAGGGATATGACTGAGAGGCCTGGGGGGAGCAAGACAGAGACACACAGACAGAGAGGCAGAGAGATGAGGCTGCAGAGGGAGAGAAACTGACAGAAACAGAGAAAGAGGAACCCAGAGACAACCGGTCCATGTTTCAGAACTCATGGAGACACCCAGACACACCAGAGGGAAAATAAGACAAGAGACGCAAGGGCAGCTTTAAAAAAAGAAAAGAAAAGAAACATTGGCGAGAGAAGCGCAAAGAGACAAATGAAAAGACAGACACGGGGACAGAAAGAAGGAGAGAGAGAGCTGAAGCAGAGGAAGTAACGAAGACACAGTGCATCCCAGCAAAGAGGTAGGCAGGAGGTCTGCACACGCTGGCTTTCATCTCTGCCTAAGTCGGAAGCAGTAATCTGCCAGAGGGAAACAGGGCAGAGCACACCTAAACCAGACTAGCCCCTCGTCCCTGATGTGCCTGAGCCTAGAGCCTTTCTCTCGAGCCAGCAGGGCTGTCCTGGCCCCAGCGAAGCCCACCTCTGGCTTTTGCTTTTCCCGTTCTCTGTCAGAGATGCGGGGCTCACACCGGCGCCAGCATTTCTACCTATAAATCAAGCCCATCCTTGAATCCCACCTCTTCCAGGAAGCCCTCCCTGACTCCGCCCCTCCCTGAACCCTCGCTGGCTCTCCTTCAGAGTAGGATGTTCTCTCTGAAAGGAGCTATTCTTATCTCCCGTCCATCCATCTCTGGTTCTGCCTGGAGCACCTCAAGCAAGGACAGGACCACGGGATTCTGGTGCTGGCGACCACATCACTATTGATCTGAGGATTTGTCTTCATTACCCGGTGCCTCCTGTCTGGGAGCCCAAAGAAGGGAGTTAATTAAAATCAATGGTGAATGGATAAACAAGCACAGAAAACCCTCCACTCTCCAGCTCTTAATTCCCAGCCTGGGCTGGGCTGACCCTGCAGCTGTCCCCTTTGACCGCCTGGGCGGGGGACCAAGAAAGGAGGGTTCCCCGTGACCCTCCCCGCCTCACAGAGAAAGCAGTGAGGCTCAGGGTGGTCGGGCAGGGAGGGAGGCTGTCAGCCTCTCTGGCCACCACCTGGCCAACCCCTACAGGGACAGGATCCCTGGCTTTGGGGCCACCTTTCTCCTAGTCCAGGCCCTGACTCAGTCTCCAGGGCCCTGAAGGGAGTTTCCAAAACAAAGGAAGACAACCAAAGGACTTGTATGCATGCATATAAGCATAACCAATGGACATAAGACACTGGGGGGTAGGGGAGGCTAGGGGACTGTCTAGGGCGGGGGGGAAAAAAATGGACACATATGTAATACCCTTTGTAATACTTTAAGCAATAAAATAAAATTTAAAAAAAAAAAAAACAAAGGAAGAGCCTGCTCCTCTGGCAGGGCCTCGGCTTGGGTTTGGAAGAAGAGCAGGCGCTCTGTGCACAGTGCTCTCCCCGCCCCCCAGGGCCCACTCATCCCGTATCCATGGCAACTGGCCTCAGACAGCCCCTCCCCCCTGAGCCGTCCCTGGCTCAGGCTGAGGCCACCAGCTGCCTGCTCGTCCCATTGGAGTGTCCTTCAGAGGGAGGCTGGAGGAGGCGCCTGCTTGGGGGACAGGCCAGCCCTTCTGGAGACGGAGCTGGCTCGCCACCACCGCGCTGACCGCCGTCCGGTCCTCCCGTCTCTGCGCAGGGCCGTCCTTCCCTGGGGAAGGTTCTTCAGAGAGCGGTCAGCGAGTAGGCAGAGTGCCTGCTGGGCCCAGCGCCGGGGGCTGCGGGAAGGAGCCAGATGCGCCTTAAGGTGTGGCCGCACCCTCGAGTAGTTCCAGGAACAGGTGGGGAAGTCGAGGCAGGCACTTGTAGGAAAAGAAGTTCAATGCCAGGTGGTGTCCTTGGGAGAGCGAATGAGGCCTGTCTCCCCCATTACTCCCCGGGGCTGGAGAGACTTTTCAGTCGAGGCACAATTCGGACGGGTCCCTAGAGGGTGAATTGGATTCAGATTTTTAAAATACTTACAGGCTTCCGCTGACCGGGTGGCTCCGTTCGTTGGCGCGTCATCCCATACACCAAAAAGGTTGCAAGTTGGATTCCTGATGGGGGCACATAGCTAAGTTGTAGGTTTGATCCCCGGTCGGGGCACATATGGGAGGCAACCGATCCATGTTTCTCTCTCCCTTCCTCTCTCTCTAAAATCAGTAAAATCATATCCTCGGGTGAGGATTAAAATATATATAAAAGTACAGGCTGGTATAGCTCTTTAAAGATACATTGCCCTCTGTCCTTCATGCTCTTACTTTATTGGTAGTTATTATTGTCTCCATTTTTCAGATGAGACGATTGAGGTTCAAAGAGATGAAAGTATTTGCCCAGGAGCGGCCGGGGCAGAGCCAGAATTGAGCCCTCGATGTTGAGGCCCCTGCCTCTGATGGGGAAAAGGCCCAGAGAGAAACCCTGGGCAAAGGGCATGTAGGGGGGACAGAGAATGAGCCGGCCTGCCTGGAGGGGAGGATCTGGAGGGAACAGGGCTATTTGGTGCGGCTGGACCGCGGGTGCCCTGCATGCTAGCTGCGGAGGAAAGAGCAGGGTTCCAGCGAGAGAGAGGCCTGGGTTCAAGTCCCAGCTTGGCCTCCAAATGGCCTTTGAAGGCATCTGGTGCCCTCAGTGTCCTGCAAGGCAAAACTTGGGGAGATAAGCTCCCCTGGAAAAAGTGAGTCCTCCCTGCGAGATTGGCCTGGGCTCCGGACACAGTGACCCCAGAGGCAGGCCCTGCATGGGGAGGCGCGGACTGTGAGCTCAGGATGACCCTCAGGTAAAATAGCTCCCGTTTAGCAGGCACCTACTATGTGCCAGATGGTGCCCGTGTGCCCTCTTTTAATGCTCACAGCACAGAAAGGAACCCATCCTCCCCCGTTTCATGATGGACCTGCTGCCCACAGAAAGGTGAGGAAACTGGCCCCAGATTACCCAGCCGGGAAGTAGCAGAGCCAGGACATAACTTGGGGCTGACTCAGAGCCGGTGCCTCTTCACCACCCCACACTTCCCTTTTGCTGCCACCAAATGGAGCCCCAGACTTGCCAGGCGTCTGGGGAGGATTCAGACTGCAGGCCCAGCCCTCCCCGGTCTCTGTGGAGACAGCTCTGGGACCTTCTCCGCAGCCATGTCAGCCTGGGGGGCTGGGGAAGGCTAATTGGGGGTGTCTGTGCATTCCCCGGGGCCTTATTATCTTTCCTATACATTAAAAAAAAAGTGTTGTTTTTAGTATGCAAAATTTTCCACCATCTGCTTTGCCTTGGCAGAATGTTTGCTGAAAATATCTCTCTTCCTCTCTAATTCCCATAATTTCTGGGGCTCTGGGAGCCTCCAAGCCGAACAGCTCGCAAGTGCCTCCCGAGCTCACAGGCTGCCGGCTGTCCTTGTGCCAGGCAGGCGGGTGTCGTGTGGCCCAGACGTCGCGTCTCCCCACCTCTCAGCCCGAGAGGGGCTTTGGGGTCTCTCCACTGATGAACAAAACTGACCCGAAGAGAAATCCTAGAATTCAGACCCAGAGTCGCTGTCCGGGTTGGCCTCTTTGTGTGTGTGATGGCGCACTGTGAGGTGCCCAGGGTCACAGAGGTGGTGGCAGAGCAGAGCCAGGGAACAGGTCCCCAAATCCCAAGGGAGGCGAAGCCAGGATCCTGCCAGTCCCCTGGACCGGCCCAGGCAAGGCGTCTCCACAGGACCCACTGCAGCTGCCACACCTATCCTTTCAGGCAGTCTGGAAAGACTTTCCAAAACAGAGGACTTCCCCCCCACCTTCATGTGCCAAAACTCTGAGTTTCCATGGCGATAGTCAAATTGCAAATCCATCCAAGATTGGGGGGGTGGCGGGGAGAGCTGGCCTATCCCCAGAGAAGTGGGCACGGCTGGTGCTGGTTTTCATCCTCAGCAGCAGACAGCCCATCAGCATGATGGGAAAATCTCGGGGGTGTCAGGTCTCCCAGCAAGTGGTCCAGGGGCTCAGCCTTCGCCGGAGGGGAAGGCCCTCTGTCCTGCCTGCCTCATGGCAAAGCCCAGGTGAATCCATTTGGCGATGCCTCCTGGGGAAGCTCTTGGGGCTGTCTTCCTCCTGGTGCTTTCCCGTCTCCGGTCTGAAAAATCAGGCGTGGGCAGAATACAAGCATTCATCACCCAGCCATCCTAGACTCAACCTTTGGGGAACTGGAGAGGGAGGGGGATCAGTCTGCAGACACACAGAGTGTTTTGTTGAGGATGGAAGAGCAAGGGCCAAAAGATTTATGAGCCTAAACGCTTTGTTAATAGACCTGGAAGATTTACGATAGCAGCTGCTGTGCGGGGAGAATGGTAGTGACGGCCATCGAATGGCAAATGAGCCAAGGTTGGGGTTTCACAAAGGCCTCCACGCTGAGCCTGGCCCGGCTCGAAATCCCAGACAATGAGCAAGGATGCGTGAGCCAAGGGGGGTGCATCCGAAGGGAATGGGTCTCGTCAGCTGGCTGCTTCTCTGCTCTATGATGCCTTTATGAGCTCATTGTCATCCGGGGCCCTCCGTCCGCCCCTTCCATGCCCGCAGCCCTTTGGGTCCGTAAAAGGAGACAAAGAACAAGCTGACTGATTGCAACTTGAGGAGGTCTTATTTTTTCGAAGCCTTGTGTACCCGATCCCACCGCCAGGGTTGGTTCTGTGGACAAGACACACCCCTCACAACAAAAACTGCTCTCCCTCCGTAGCCCAGCACAGTCTTCCTGCAATTTAAACCCACGCCCATTCCCAATCCAGTGCCGTGACCAGGTGCACAGATGACAGGAGGGGAGGAAGGGGAAGCAATGAGATCCGTGAGCTTGCCACTGTAACCCGGGCCTAGGACAGCCTTCCCGTGGTCTCCTTCCAGTTCTTGGTGTTTTGTGCTTTTTGGCGTCTGCCCTTTAGCGCCAGAGGATCCTGGCATTGTTTTAACGCCATGGAGCCCGTGTCCCCCTGCCCCGGGCTTGTGAAGATCCGGCGTGTCTAGCGTGGAAGAGATGGCGCGCCCTGAGTCAGAAAGGGTGACCAGATGGTCTGTAAGCCTCTCGGTCGGGGGGAGCCTGTAAATACTTTAAAAATCTGAATCCAGCCCTTTGCCCAGGGTTTCTCTCTGGGCCTTTTCCCCATCAGAGGCCGGGGCCTCAAGGTCAGGGAACCCACGGGTTGGTGTTTAGTCAGTCAGTGAGTTAAAGATACTTAAATGCCTACAGAACCAGCACCAGTGAAGCCCGGTCTCAGTGGAATCGCGACCAAAGAAACCCAGCCCAGGACCTGAAAAGCAATTGCAAAGTAAGATAGGCCTCTCCTTGCTTTTCTCAAATACTATGGGAGGGGCATAGGGACCACCACTCCTCCCGGTCCCTGTCTCCTCTTGAGTCTATATCACAAAAGCCCAAGATGCCTTCCTTGAGGGCGGGGATTGGGGGGGGGGGGTGGAGAAACAGGCAGAAAAGGCAGAATCCTTGAGCAGACAGAGAAGGACCCGCTGGGACACTCAGGTTAGCATCACTCTTGCCCCACCCACCTGGATCCGGCTCTGCCGAGGGGGAAGCACACCAGCCTGATTCAGGGTGTCATTTGGCCCCGGCCCGCACGGAGCCCCGGTTCTGCTGGGGAAACACCTGCATAGACCTGTACAGCAGAAAGTGGTTGATGCCGTTGTAGCAGAATGCACAGGCGTTCGGCCAGCCGGGCGCGGGGGATGGGCAGGGCATTCTGGGCCAAGGGAAGTGAGACACTGCAGGAGCGGCTAACTGGCAGTTTGGCAAGAGCTCCAAGCCGTGGGGCTGGAGGAGCCTGGGGTGGGAGAGCAGGTTGTATGGATGAGGTGGACAAGTGGACAAAGGTCAGGAGCTTGGGCTTGGGCCTGTAGATTATGAGGAGCCTTTGAAGAGGGTAACTAGCACTTGTGTGTCAGCTGGGGCATCCCCGGCTGTGCAGGGGGGCGGGGCCTGCGGTGGGGCCAGGTGGGAGGTTATCACAGGAATCCAGGCTGGAGACGATGAGGCTTTGAGCTCAGCATTGATTTGAGGACCATTTAGGAGGTGAAACGGTCAGGACGTGGGGATAAGGGAGAAAGAAGAGCTGATTGGTCATCAGAGCGTCACAAAGCACCTACTGTGTGCCGGCCCCTCTGCTATGGAAGCACAGGTTGAGACTCTTAGGGCTGAAATGGTCAGTCAGCTCCAACTCTCTGGTTGCTTGGTGTGTGACCTGTGCCTCCGTTAGCTGGCAGGTGGCACAGGCTGAAGGCATGAAGGCTTTCCAGAAAGCTCTAGATCAGCGGTTCTCAACCTGTGGGTCGCAACCCCTTTGGGGGTCGAACGACCCTTTCACAGGGGTCGCCTAAGACCATCGGAAAACACATATAGCCTATCAGATATTTACATTACGATTCATAACAGTAGCAAAATTACAGTTATGAAGTAGCAACGAAAATAATGTTATGGTTGGGGGTCACCACAACATGAGGAACTGTATTAAAGGGTCGCGGTATTAGGAAGGTTGAGAACCACTGCCCTAGACCCAGGTGGCAGCTACGTGGCACAGGTCCTGCCGTTTCCCCTCCAGTGCCCACCGTGGACCTCCCTGCCGGCCCGGGCTCTCCTCTCCTTCCTGCTGGGGGTTCATGCAGCCCCAGGGTTCTCCTCTGCACGGGCTCCCGAAGGGGCCCGGCCGGTCCGATGAAACCGCTTAGCCATCCTTGGCATAGATCAATTTTGTTTTCAATCTCATCTCCCACCAAATGGGTCCCCATGGCACAGGGCTGTTTGGCAGGTTGACTAAGATAATGTTCGCTAGGTACCCAGCACAGTGCCTGGCAGAAGGAGCTCAACCCCTCCTAACCTCCCTCCTCACCAGCATTTTGCATTTCCTGGATCAGACACTCGTACCCCATCTGCTGAGTTAGTCGCCTCTGAGAGCTGCTGCCCTGTAATCCCAAACCTTTCTGTACATTTGTACTTGTTATGATTACATCATTTAATGAAACGTTATGTAAATCGATGAAAAGAGTCAGAAAAAAACACACACAAACAGTTGTCTCATAAAAGCCAGGGCCTTGGGATGTCTGGATAGAAGCCACTTGCTTAAAATAGCGATTGGATTAGATGTGGGCAGGACGACGGCCGCAAACAGGAGAAGGAAACAGGAAAGGAGAGGATTCTGCCCTCATCTGCGTTCCCTGTCTCTAAGCTCTGCTCCCATGTGTAGACCCTGAACCTGGGAATCACAATCAAACACGCGTGCAGTTGAGACAGGAAAGACCCGAAGAAGCACCCAAACTCTACAGCAAAAGATTGGCAAGTGGATGTACATTTCTATGCTTAAAATTACAACAGAATGCTCACCATATGAATAGATCCTGTACGACGACTCCCACCGGTGACGAACCAGCCAAATACGGTCCCGTTTAGTCCAGAAAAGAGGATTTCTGCCGCAGGGGGTGTTCCCTGTGAGGGCTTCCCTCCTCTCCGTCTCCTGGGAGCCCAGCCCATCTGCCCGGCTCCCTCCTGCACCCACAAGACCCCGCGAGAGTTACTGGGTGAACTGGGCTGAGAGCCCAGGCCGGCTGGCTCCCAGTTCCGTTCTTCCAGCGGAATCGGGGTGCTTAGGAGCACAGGCTGTGGGGCCGGACTGCCAGGGCTAAAATCCTGGCTCCTCCGCTTACTGCCTTTGGCAAGTGCCTCAGTTTCCTTGCCTGTAAAATGCGGAGAACGCTATTTTCTGCCTGACAGGGATGTACTGAAGCTTCAGTGGGTTCGCGTGTGTCAAGGGCCTGGAGTGTTCTGTAAGGGTCAGCGAGGACTGGCGTTGCCATGACTACCGAGCATTGCCTCACGGCCAGGGGCAAGGCTCAGGGCGGCTGTGCCTTCACCAGAGGGGACAATTGGCTCCTACCACGGGGAGAGGGTGACATGTGGAGAGGGCTGGGCCCAGGGTGAGTCCTCCTTGACTGGCAGAAAGGAGTGGCCTGTCATCCCCATCCCCACGCCACTGTTCCCGTGCCCCAAACACATGGCCAGCCGAGGTTCTGTGCCCTTCGTCCTGGCAGGAGGGCGGCCTGCCCTGGCCCACTCTGCCCAACGTGCCTGCTGGTGGTGGCCAGTCGCGGTAACCTCCTCACTGGTGTCTGTTCTTCCAGTGGTTTCCAGTGACAGCGACAGCGACTCGGACCTCAGCTCCTCCAGCCTGGAGGACAGACTCCCGCCCCCTGGGCTCGGGGACCCGAAAGGCGGCAGATCCAGGGGGGACTCAGGTGAGCGTGGGACGCGCATGCTGGTTTCTGAAGCTCCAGGGGCAGGTGGCTTTGCTGCTGCCCTGGGCCTCTGCCCCCCAGCAGGGTGTCTGCAGGGTCGCTCTGGGTCAGGATGTTCTGAGAAGAGGGCCTGGGGCGGGACGGCTAGGAGCTGAAGTCTTAGCACCACTGAAGAGCAAGGTGGAAAGGAGGCTCAGCTGTATATTCGGGGGCCGGGGAGGCAGGTCCAGTGGCTGCCCTGACGCTCAGCCTGCACACCCGGGCTTCCTCCCCAGCTCCCTGTGAGCATCCCGATGAGATTTTGCCTCGTGAACGTCAGGTGCAGCGTGCTCTGGTATAGCTCAGCTCTGCGGTGGGACCCCAAACACACACTGTGGCTTCTTGGGCCTGTTGCTACTAGTTAGCACAAGCGGGCTGGAGCCGGTGGTCCCGAAGCTTCCTCTGAATTTCACACCTCTGAGCTCTCCACTGTGACCTGATGTTTGAAAGAGAAGTAACTGGGGCCTTGCAGCTGGTCAGACAAGGCCTGGGGGCACATTTTCCTCTCCTTTAAACGCACAAGGGACCTTCCTGGGAAAAGGACCAGCTTTGTTCAGAATCATTCCAGAGGTTAGAACTGGGGTATCTGAAGATGGTGCCCAAGGCCGATCTCAGTGCATAAGGAAGCTTTCTTTTGCCCCACACTGGAACGCAATGCCTCCGCCTGCTGCCCTGGGACAAGGCTGGGGACCTGCCAGAGCGGATGTGGAAGGAATTCCTGCTGGGACCACAGTTTGGGCTCCATCAGAGATGCCGAATGCCTGGCACACGGGCTTGTACTTGCACTCCTGTGCCCGTGGCGGGCATGACTAGCTGATCATGATACGCTTTCCCACAGAGCCCGATGTGGCCTGAACTCTCCTCAGTGCAGTTTGCCGAGTGGTCAGTGTCAATAGGTGATATCAATATCAATATCAATATCAATAGGTGAAGATGACGCAGAGATGGAAACTAACCCTGGACTAGACAATCTCTTAGGCACCTCGGGCTAAAGATTCTATCTTAGGAAAGTGTAACGGAAGCTTACTGCCCGCCTTGGTTTCTAGGGCAGGGTCTACACGCCCTCCACCTCCCCCCACCAGAGCTCTTGTCCCCTCCCTTCACACCAACTCCCAGCTATGACCAGAGGGTCTAGTGGACAGGAAAAGACGGAGTACAATGGCCCAGGCCCAGTTCGGCTCCCTTGGCCGGGCGAGGGCCCACAGGCGTATCTGAGGATCCTTGAGTGAGGAAAGGCAGCAATGAGAACCCACTGAGTTCGCTGAAATGTAAACCTCCCCCACCCACACCTCATTCCTCCTGGTTGTCGACTTTCATGTTGGTTCCTCTGGGCAACCACCTGCAGGCCCATTCGGTGGCCTTTGTATGTGGTGGACCCGTCAGCAGTGGCCACGGGGTTGGGTCGCACTAGAACGTGGCAGCCCTGCAGGGTAAGGGGCTCTGGGCGCAGCCCCCTGGACGCCCATCTCAGATCCATACGGGAAGCTGCCCATCAGCTCGTTGCAGGCCGAGAGCCCCCCTGGCTCGGTGTAAGGTCCAGAGGGCCCAGCACTGAGCTACTTGCACTCACACGTGGTCTCTTGCAGGTGGCAGCGTGGAGTCCCCCAAGATGGAGCTCACCCACCCACCCAGCCACCTGTCGGGGAGCCAGAGCAGCCTGGCCAGCGAGGCCGGGACCGGCTCTGCAGACCCACAGAGGGGCACCCCGCCCTGGCCGGACCCAAAGGGCTCCAGTGAGTACCCAGCCACCTCTTCTACCCCCACTCCCTCTCCCTTCTTCTTCCCCTCCCCCAGGGCCCTCCTCTCCTACTCAGTCCCCCAAAACTGGAAAGGGGTCGGTGAGGTTTTCAATTCTGTATGTTTACTGAGCTCCGGGCAGGCACTGCGGGAACCGGGGTGCCAGGCCCCACCCTGCCTGCAATGAACAGAGAGGAACCCCAAATTAATAATGGTACCACCCCCCTATCCATCCTCAGTGATGCTAACGGTTATGACATCCTCAGCTTTATAAAACGTGTAATCGTTCATTTCCCCATCTCCATGGCAGTCGCCGTAACTCCCGTTTCAAGAGCACCTACTATGCTCCAGGCAACCCAGTCCTCACCAAGCCCCACAGTGTGCCCAGTCCTCGACCTCCACTTCCTGAGACGCTGCAGGGCAGGGCACGCGAGGCGGCAACTGGGCAGGTCTGAGGGTCAGGGGGCCTCGGTGGGCATGGCCATGAAGTGGCCCCTCTCCGCGCCCTCTGGCCTCCTGAAACCCTTGACAGGGGCCGTTTGGAATCAGGCCTGAGTTCTCGTCCCGGTCTTGCCACACAGCCACGTGACCTGGGGCAAACCGCCAGGCTGAGCCGCATGAAGCTGCATTTTTATAGATCAGAAATAGCCGATGTTGGCAATTCGGTACGATTCAACCTAATGTCTGATCTCTCTGTGCCCAGTGCCATTGTCCCTAGAGTGGGGACCGCATCAGGTCCCTCATAGCGTTGGGGGAGGGTGAAAGGCAGGGTCCGCGTGGAGTGTGCGCCTGAGCAGCTCTCGGGAGATGCCCAGTGATAAGTGGGGAGGCTGTGCGGCCAGTGCATAGAGAGTTCCAGGGCCTGAGGCACTTGGAAAGGGTCGGCCTGGAGGAAGGTTTGTGTTTCTGTGTTCATTTGCTCCTCTGGCATCGAAGGTCGAAGGTCGCTGTGTGGGTCAGCTGGGTTGCGATGGACACACTGAAGCGTGGGGAGTAGACGGCTTGCCTGCGAGGACGCAGCAGAGCGGAGCCGAGCTCTGCCCAGGGCGCCAGCCCCCGCCCAGCCGGCTGCTGCGGGCTAGTTCACACAAGGGGGGGCCCGGGGCTACTCCAGCTCCTGCGTCCCCTCCATATCTTCCCCAAGGGTCAGGCTGTCACAGGGAGGTGCCCTGCCTCTGCTCAGCCTATAGTGGCCTTTTTTCTCTCCCCCAAAGGCAAAAGGCACACCTGGGCGAGTCCCCGCTGCTGACGTGGCCCCAACGAGCCCTCCGCCTGCCCTGGGCAGAGGCCTGCGGGGCGCACGGGACAGGCTTTCCAGTCAGAAGAGTGAGAGAGAGCGCGCACCCACATGCTGGAGCCAGACCTGCCGGCTCCTTCCTGACCAGCCCCGGAGGCCGCACATCCCCCTGTCCGACGTGACCTCTGACTCAACAGACCAGTGTTTGGGGGCTGAGTCTGCTTCTCCCACTCAGTGCCTTTCTGCCCCTTTCTTCTGGGAGCCCTCACACACACCCCTCCCCCCGCCCCCAGCCATGTCACTCAGCTGTGTCCTTTATTTATTGTCCTCCCTCGACCCCCCCACTCCTACCCCCCCCCGTGTTTATTTCAAGTTGGCTCTCCCCTTGGGTTGGGCTGGATGGGCCGTCACCCACTGGTGGGGCCCCCACATGCACTGCAGTTCCAGGGGCACCAGGCAACGTCCTCCACGTGGCATGCACGGGAGAAGCCCAGCCCTGAGCGTTACCCTCCAAAGCTGAGCTTGGCCCCGAGAGACCAGCCCCGCAGTCCAGAGCAGGTGGGATGAGAGAGTCCCCACCCTTTCCCTCTGCTGGGGCCCGGGAGGTGGGAGCTGGGACCTGGCTCTGTGGATTCCTGGAGCCCCTCCTCGGCCCCCCTGGTGTTCCCAGCCTCTCCCCCCACCCCCCTGGAGCTGAGAAGGGCTCTGGGGGAGACTGAGGTGCCGCTCACTGAAGAACCAGCCTTCAGCCTCTGCAGCTGGGCCTCAGCTCCCGAAGCCATTAATTCACGTCTCTTCAGTCGGTTTGGTTTGGCGTGAAAAATACTTAATTCAAAGCACGGGCAAATGCTTCTGGAAAACCCTTTCCCGAAGAGAGAGAGAACGTGTGTTTGTGTGCGTGGGTGTTGTCTGTACCCTCCCATCCCCCCCCCAGGCCCCGCCCTCGAAGGGCCTGCTCCCCAGGCCCTCAGGCCCCCACCATTAGCTTTTTTGCCACGGCTACCAGCAGATGGTAAAAAAACTCACTGTTTCCCTGTGACAAGCTATGCTTCAGAATACAAATAAAGATTAGGGTTTGCATTGAGCCCGTGTGTTGATCGCGACCACAATCACGTGTGCTTCTGAGATGCGTATCGCTTGTATCGCCAGCTTTCACTGCTCCCCAAGATGTCCACGCGAGAAAGCCAGCCGAGACCAAGCCCGTTTGCTCTGCAGAGCCCCCCACCCCACCCCGAATGCTTTGAGCTTGGAGGGACCAGGAATCCCGAAGGTGGAAGCTCGGGGTGGGTGTGAAAACAGCACTGCATGGAAGACACGGTTAGATACCTGAGTGCCTTCTCCCAGCCCACATGGCCTGTGACTGCCCCGCCATCCCCTGGCCCTCGGAGAAGACAGGTCACTGCTGGCCACGGTTGGACCCCAAGCCAAAGGCTGTGATGAACGGGGAGACCCTCAGCCCTTCCCCTGCTCACACCCTCCACCCTCTGCTAAGGCAGGATGTGGCTGAAGGTCTCTCTGGGAAACTGACCAAAGAGAAAAGATGGGCAGAGCCTGACGTTGGCAAGTCCCCAGTCACCACGCGGGGCCCCCAGTGCCCTGGCCCTGCCCCCGAAAGCAGAGCTCAGCCTTGCTGAGCTGCACTCACCCCGGGAACAGCCAGGGCACCAACCATTGACCAGAACCGACAACCAAAATACAGAGACTCCAGTGCACAAAGCAAGGGTCCGGCACAGCCCTCTGCAGGTTCACCGCGAACCAGGAAAAGGATGTTCTTTCTTTCTTTTTAATATATTTTATTGATTTTTTACAGAGAGGAGGGGCGAGGGATAGAGAGTTAGAAACATCGATGAGAGAGAAACATCGATCAGCTGCCTCCTGCACACCTCCCACTGGGGATGTGCCCACAACCAAGGTACATGCCCTTGACCGGAATCGAACCTGGGACCCTTCAGTCCGCAGGCCGACGCTCTATCCATTGAGCCAAACCGGTCAGGGCAAGGGTGTTCTTTATAAAAGCAAGTGTTGAAGCTCTTCCAAAGTAAAATGCAATAGCAGAACTTAAAATTGCACTAGGAGGAATGGAAGGTAAGAGAAAATCCCCCAGAATATAAAAGCAAAGATGTGAAAGTAGAAGAAAAAGTCAAGAAAATTGGACAATCAAAAGATAAGAGCCGTGCAGAAGGTCCAACTAATAGAAATTTCAAACCAAGACACAAAACACAGGAGAGAAAATTGTCGAAGAAATGATGCAAGGGTATTTCCTGGGACTGAAGGGACAAGCCCCCTAGCGAAAGAGCCCACCAGGTGCCCAGCACAGCGGCATGAAACCGCAGCCACGTGGACAGCACCACCATGGCGAGCACCGCGGCAACCCCTGTGGACGACGATGCGCGTGGCCGGCAGCCACAGCGCGATGCCCTCGCCCGGGGTCTTCCCGAAACAGATTCTCGCTCCCTCCGGAGGTCGGGCCGGGGCCGAGGGGGCCCGTCTACAGGCTCCCGGTGATGCCGTGCTGCTGGCCGGAGGACCACACTTGGAGGAGCGCCGGTCCAGGGCAGCGGTTGTCAGCGCCGACTGCTCATTGGAGTCACCTGGGGCGACACAAGCGCTCCTGCCGGACTCACCCCCGAGGTTCTGGCTTCATCGCTTTGGGGCACAGCCCTGACATCGGATTTTTAAAGGTCCCCAGATGACCCCGACGTGCTGGCAGAACCTAGAACCTTTTCCCTATGGAAGCTCTTCTACGCGGGCTCCACACACGCGTGGGATGTTGGGAGAGTACCTTTTCATGGGCTGAACACTGGAGACGGCCTAAATACCATGGACAGAAGGACAGATCTGTAACTGTGACACAGTCAGGCAATGGGCTATCGTGCAGTGACGAACATGAGGGGCCACACTCAGCACAGCTGACTCACAGGCTGAGCAAGGAAACAGACGGCAGAAAAACAAACCATCATGACGCGGTCTAGTTAGAGACTTTAAACACACACAATGTTGCGTATTAACATATATCTTATGCAGTGAGAGAAGAAAGACATGCCTACGAAGGATAAACAACAGATTTCTAGATACACATTGGGAAGAAGACCTGCAATTAAGGAGGGGTTTCCACTTTAATATAATGTTCTAGTAACCTTGGTGGTGAACAGGGGGTTTGTAATGTACGTATTATATCTTATATGTTTTACAGGGGTGGGCAAAAAAGTAGGTTTACAGTTGTTTGAATGGAAGATAATACAATAATTAATAGATAATACAAGAATAAACTCTGTTTGGTTGGCCCTGGCCAGGTAGCTCAGTTGGTTGGGGCATCATCCTGATACCCCCAAGGTTGCGGGTTCAATCCCAGGTCAGAGCACATGCAGGAATCAACCAACGAATGCATAAATAAATGGACAACAGATCAGCGTTTCTCCCTCCCTCTCTCTCAAAAATCAAAAAAAAAGAAAGAATAAATTGTTATGTGTACTCACAGCTGTAGCCCTACTCTTGCTTACTCCTGTATTTATTATATTTGTATTATCTTTATATGACTGAAATATTGCAAAATAAAAAGCTTAAGGAATTAAAGCAAGCCTTCTTATCATAAAATTTCAGGACACCAGGATAAAAATTCTAAAAGGGAAAAAAGTCCAAAACCCTTCCAAAAAGAAAAAAAACAGGTCACATACCAAGGATCAGAGATTAAAATGCACTGAAATTCTCACAGCAGACCCAAAGCCAGAACCCAGTGGGGCAGCGTCTTCTAGGTTCTGACAGGGGATGATTGCTAATCTAGATTGACAGCCAGCCCCATCTCCATGGCGGGAGAAGGAAGGTGTTTCCAGACCTGGGTGTTTATGTTTTTAATTGGCCGCCCATGCCTCCTTTCTCAGGCAGCTACTAGAGGACATGCCCCAACCAAACGAGGGAGAAACCCAGGAAAGAGAACACGCGGGACATGGGTGCTGGAGATCCGACACAGGAGGGGGCCCAGGGAGTCCCCAGGCGGGTAGCAGTGGCTCTGCTGGGGAGATTGTATGTGACATCATGATATGTTACCATATGTCATGGTATCTTCTGTACTAATAAAAGGGTAATATGCTGATTAGACTGGATAGACCGGACGTCTACTGGACAAAGCTGCAGCAGCTGCGAGGGCCGAGGAGGGCTGGCAGCCATGGCAGCTGTGAGGGCCGAGAAGGGCAGCATGGCTGGCAGTGCCAGCAGCAGCAGGGTGATGGGAGCGGTACCTTCCCCTGATCGGCCCAGTCACCTCCCACAGAGGGAGGCCAGACTGTGGCTTAGAGGGCCTAAGCCATCAGTAGGACATCCCCTGAAGGGCAGGCCAGGCTGAGGGACACCCCCCTCAGTGCACGAATTTTCGTGTACCAGGCCTGTAGTCTATAATAATAAAAGCATAATATGCTAATCAGACCAGATGTCCCTCTGGACGAAGCTGGGGCTGCGAGGGAATCCCGGGTCCCAGGTGCCTGCTGGCAGCCAGAGGGAAGCCTGGGTCTTAGGTGCCAGAGGGAAGCCGGTGTCGGCAGCAGGGGGAAGGAAGGCCTACTCTTACACGAATTTCGTGCATCGGGCCTCTAGTATAATATATAAAGCTGAAAAAGCAATAATCAGCATGAGATTTCAATATGAAGGTACACACCAGCAGAAGTGGCCAAGAGTTCTAAGGGTGCCTAGAGAGGGACTGGAAGGGGGACAGGGTATTGCCACCCACTGTCATAAACTCTCTAGGGCAGTTGCCCCTTTTAAACTATATACTATGTTACATTCGAACAATGAGAGTTTTTTTAATGGAAAATACATATCAAGCTCAGGATAAACCCGGGGGCGAAGGTGAGAGCCCGGAGGCCATCACAGGTGAGTGAGGTAGGGAGGCTGAGGACCTGCCTGGCGGAGAAAATACAACCCCGGGGGTCCTTCTATCCAAATACCCCGCCTGTGAGGGGCCGGCGGCTCTGCCTCCCGGCTCAGAGCTCCCCTGTGCCCAGACCAAAGCCCCTGGGGCCTCTCAGCCCTCCTGCAGGACGGGCCCCACACTCAGCGCCCGCCAGACCCGGTCCAGGGGGGACCCAATCCCATCAGCCCTCAGGGCGGGTCCCGAATGCGTTTCCGAGAGATGTGACCCCGGGTTGCTGGGTTCCGAAGCAGTTTCATCAGCATTAACCCAGGAAGCCCTGGGCTCTAGAGGGGCAGGGGGAATGCCTATCTCACCACCACCACCACCACCACCACCCCACCCCACCCCACCCCCGGGAGCTGCCAGGAGTCAGGAGCTCTTTGCGGGCTGGGCTGGGAACCAAGAAATCCTTTCTTAACAAAAATGCTGGCTCTCAGGCAACCAAGTTACCTGTTAACTGTTGGAACTGAGCCTTGCATGGTGGGGGTGTTCTGTGTCACCTGGAAAAATCGGGGACGACAGATGACTTAATTCGTCCCGGATTCCAGATGAGCCCAGTAAGGAGTCGCTGACAGAGGCAGCGAGCGGACGGCTGGTTCCCGAGCCCGGCTCCACTCCTTCGCACCTGATTTATGGGCGCTTCTCGGTGCCTCGGTTTCCCCATCTGTAACATGGCGATCATGCCTCCTTCACAGGGCTGTTGTGGAAATCAGACCTGAGAGCACACGCAGCGCTCCTGCCGCTGCTGTTGGTTGTCACTCCGCCAACTGCAGACGCCGCGCTTGTCCTGGGAGCTGTTAGAGGGGAAGCTCGCAGGTGCAGTGCCGCACGGAGCCTGGGGCACAGTGTCCCCGCTCTGCCCTTTGGGGATAGTGGTGCTCAGTCCGCTCCGTATGTACTGGGCAGCTGCCAGGTGCCAAGCGGAGAGTGACAGGCTGAGGTTCAGTCGTGGACAAAACAGACGTGGCCCCTGCCCTACCCGGTGGTAAGACACAGGCGTCTGGCTCAGGGTCCAGGGTGGGGCGGAGGATGTGCGTTTTAAAAAATATATTTTGATCGATTTCAGAGAGAGAGGGAAACATCACTGATGAGAGAGAATCATAGATCAGCTGCCTCCTACACGCCCCCTCCTGGGGACCGAGCCCACAACCCGGGCAGGTGCCCTGACTGGGAATCAACCATGACCTGCAGGTTCATAGGTCGATGCTCAACCACGGAGCCACGCCAGCCGGTGTGGACGTGCGTTTTTAAGTTCCCTGGGGACGCTGACGTTCCTGGTTGGGAGACACACAAGAACCCCTAACCGAGGGCAAACAGTCCACCTGTATTTCTGGGACTCCCTGCACCCACAGGCGGGGAGCAGCGGGCGGGTGATGAGGCCTCAACTGGCAGAGAACACGCGGCCCCCACAGGCCGAGGGCCCCAGCCTCTGATGGCGTCCTGCTGCCGCTGCGTCTCTCCGCGGGACAGATGTGCTGCCCCAGCTGTTCCTCAGCACCGGAACCAACAGCACCCACAGGCCCAGCAGGTAAGAGCCGCTTCCCCCCACAAAGGTGAGGGCTGGCATCATTCCCGGCGAAGACACACCCCCTCTCTGGCGCTGCTTTTCAAGGTCCCCCGAAGCCTGCAGTCTCTGTCCCTGCCTGTTCCTGGCTCTCCAGTAAGCTGTTCCCCCGCCCCCCCCAGGTACAGGGCACTGCGGGCCATGGGGAGGGACGCTGCTGCTAGGAGGGGGCCCACCAAGGACTCCAGGCAGCTCCTCCCTGGCTGCCTCATGGCCCTGCCTCCTCACAGCTTTGAGTGCTGACAACAGGGCCCTCCATGCCACTGAGCCAGGCTAGCGAGAGACGCAGCACTTTGCCGCTTAACAAATATCCCGGCCGCCATTTGTTGAGACAAGCACCTGCTACAAGCTCTAGGGATCCTCACCCACCTCGGAGACAGATACTCCTATTGTTCCCATTTTACAGAGGAGGAAACTGAGGCCCATCGAGGTCGAGAGCCCGTATTTGAATGCAGGGCAGTTGGATGCCAAAGACTGTGCTCAGCAGAGGGTGGGGGTTTGCTGGTGAGAACCTCCCAGGATCCCGGGGTGGAGGGAGCCGGGAGCAGACAGACAGAGGAAGGGCAGGCGGGCAGCACAGCTGAGTGGGGTAAGTCGGGCCTTGTTTCCGCGGGGGCCGTTCCCACGGCTGAGGTAGCAAATGAGAACACATCTCGGTCGCTGCACAGAGCTGTGGTCCCATGGTGGCCGCTGGCTGGTGCCGTGGGGGATGCCGTCTGACACCCCGAGCTCCCAGGCACCTTTCCTCATCGGGATCCGGGCAGGTCCCGCGGGGCGGCTGTCTTTTCAGGCCGCGGACAGGCAGGTACAGGGGTTGGCTTCGGGGTTTCCAGGAGCTTCCATCACTCAGGTAGCCTCGGGCCTTTGCAGCCAGCGTCAGGCTTGGGACTGACCCCGCACTCCTCCTCCCGAGACCGAGGGAGCCGCACCTGAACCCCGGGAGGAGGAGCCGCAATTCCACAGCCCCCAGCACATCCCACCCCCACACCTGCCTTTCTTCCTCTTACCTTTTCCGCTGTGGTGAAAATACGCATACAGTGAAGTGTAGAGTTCAGTGCAGCACATTCACATTGTTGTACAACCATCGCCACCACCATCTCCAGAACTTGTCACCCTCCCAAACGGAACTCTGCCCTATTGAACACTCACTCCCATGTCCCCCCCACCCCACCCCCGACCCCCGCCCCCGGCAGCCCGTCCTACCCGGAGTGGGAGGGCTGGGTTGTATGGTATTCCCACGTCTGACATTCTGAGGAACCGCCATTCTGTCCACAGTGGCGGCAGCATTTTTCATTCCCACCAGCAGAGCATGAGGGTCTGTGTCTTTCCTTCTGAAGCAGAGGCTGTCCTGTGTCTCTTTGATCCCCCCTGCCCCCTCCCACTGTCCCCCCAACATGGCTCATGGCAGGGGAACATCAGCCGGCCCCGGGGCTGGAATCGCACTGGGGGTAGCGGGCGCCTCATGGCCACGTGCAAGGCCGTGGGCAGAAGCTCAGCTCAGTGCTGTGCTGTCTTGAAATTCTTAATCATCTTGACCAGGGGCCCCGCGTTTTCCTCTCACGCTGGGCCCTGTGAGTGCTGTAGCCGTCCCTCCTGGCCTGGCTGCTCGGCCTGGGTGCAGACTCTGCCAGTGCAGCCAGATCACGGTCAAGGCCTGACGGGGAGAGCCCTCCAACGCTCTGCAACCTGGGCGGGAGCCAGAGCCCCTGGCCCGGCATCTGGGGCCCAGGCCCTCATGCTGGCCCCGCCCGCTCTCTGCGCCTGTCACGCCCCATCGACAAGGTGTAAGGGCTGGGCTACGGAGAGTTCTCTATTTCTGTTCCCCCGAGC